AACCAGGAGAAGATAACATAGATGAATGGGACCTTCTAAGACTCAAATCCCTATGCACATCCAAAAACTTCTCCAGTAGGGTAAAAAGGGAAGCCACTGACTGGGAAAAAGTATTCAGTAATAACATATCAGATAAGGGACTTATATCCAGAATTTATGAAATACTTGAGCACCACAACAAGATAAAGGTAAATAATCCAATAGAAAAATGGGCACAGGATATGAACAGGCACTTCACCGAAGACAACATTCAGATGGCTAACAAACACATGAAGAAATGCTCAAAATCCCTAGCCCTAAGAGAGATGCAAATTAAAACAACTATGAGATATCATCTCACCCCAGTCAAAATAGCAAAATTTAACAGAACAACAAGCAACAAATGCTGGCGAGGTTGTGGAGAAACTGGAACCCTGATTCACTGTTGGTGGGAGTGTAAAATGGTGCAACCCCTGTGGAAAGCAGTATGGCGCTTTCTTAAAAAGTTGCAAATAGAGATACCATTTGACCCAGCAATTCCACTACTGGGAATATACCCTGAAGAGACCATAGCTGACATCCAAGCAGATATATGCACACCCATGTTTATTGCAGCTTTGTTCACAATAGCAAGGAGTTGGAAACAACCTAAGTGCCCATCAACAAACGAATGGCTAGAGAAGCTGTGGTATATTCGCACAATGGAATACTATGCTGCATTAAAAAACAAGGAACTCATGCAATATTATTCAAAATGGTTGACTCTGGAGAACATTATGCTGAGTGAAATATCCCAGTCACAAAAGGACAAATATTACATGATGCCACTGTTGTAGAATGGGACTGTCCTTGGGGTTGGGGAGAGACTGAGTAAGATGGGTTCAATAATGTATACTGCACTGAAACAGAGGAGGGAGAGAACCGTTTAAAAGAGAGATATAACTGGGTATTTCTGTCATCACAGGAGACTAGAGCGAGGGCTACATGGTGGAGGGGACCTGGGGGAGGGTTTGTAAAACAAAGAAAGAATCTTTTCTTTTACTTTTCCATAATTTTTGGGCTCATGTACTTATAACTTGTTAGTCAAATTTGTGTCTTCTAGGTTGCAACACCCCCATGATACATCTTCAAGGATATGAACATGTACGGCCAAGCACAATCAATAAGAGTGCATCTAAATTCCAAAATCAATCTCCATAATAGTCTATGTGTTTCCTACTGCCAAAGGGGCCCTTTAGAGTAGTGAGAGAAGATCTTCACCCTGAAACCCACAGCGTCCCTTTTCAGCAGGAAGTAGCTAAGAGAATACGCCATCCCCTTTTCCTTATGACCAGGGTGAAGTCTCTCTCAGGGAGGAGTGATAGGGAATGGCAAAGGACACACTGACAAAGAAGATTAATCAGAACTGGCTTTGACAAGCACTGTGGCATTTGGACAAGATCAAACTGGGAGGAGGGTGGAGGGAATAGTGCAGCAATGAGTGAGTGGAAGCCCAAAATCTCTGTAAATGTTTATGAAAATTAATAAAATATAATTATAGAAAAAAAAAGAACTATAATGATGTTTAACTTTTGAAAAAGTTAACATGCCCTTTAATAAAAAATAAGTTTTATACTCTTTCTTTAGTATCAGGGTGTGCTGACATTTGAACAACTCCTTGGGCCTACTAGAAAGGACCATGTTTCCAGATCCCTGAAAACAAGGGAAAACACTCTTAAATATGGACTCCAGCTTCACTGGCTGAGAAGCTGCCTAGAATGAAGGCTACATCTCAGGATACATGATAAACAAATCCAGCAATGTCCCATGAACTGTCTTTCCATGGCCTACAAGTGTATTAGAGGAAAAAATTCAAGAGCAATTGAGGAGAGGCTGTCCTTTGAGACTGCAGATATTACATACACAAATCTGGATGACATGAAGGAAGCAATGATATAGGCAGAGGAAATAGGTGACAAGACTACTAGGAAGCTGGACAAACAGGAGAATAAATGTGTGAAAAAGGAAAAGTAACCAAGTGGATGTGACTGTACTTGCATGCTTGGAAAACAACAGTAGTAATTCTGAGGAAATGAGGAGACAGGTAAGGAACCCACCCAAAAAGAAGAAAAAGCCTCCCAATGGGATAAAGGAATGGAATGCCTGCCTAGCTCTGTTCTCCGCAAGCCTAAGAAAAAGAAAGCTTTCTCCAAAGAGCTGGTCAATGGTGACTTTGAGGAGACATAGTAAGTCTTTCCAAGAGGAAGACGTTTTTCTCCTAATAGGAACCAGAGAATCAGGAAAAGGCAGCAAACAGCAAAGCTGCTCTCCTCCACGGAGAAGCCAGTCAGCAGTGGATCTGGAGAGAGTGCCAGCAACAAGAGCGACAGTGCTCAGAAGACATCCCAGGAGAGGAGAATGGCCATGCCCGAGGGAGCACATCATGCTTCCCAATAAAAACAAAAATTCATGGATACATCTTTTTTCTCTTAGTTTTATTTTTGAAAAGGGCATTAAAAAATTAAACTGTTAAGAAGAAATAAGGGGCTTCATGTTTACGCAGGTTTAACTGGGAAAACTGACAATATTTCAGTATTATACCGAATTTAAAATTTTTTATAGGAAGACTAAATTATGTAACCTCTAAGCCATTTCTACTGAACTATAATGTTTGTCAACTTTTAAAAAGTCAACATCTCCTCTAATAAATAACAGTAGTTTTTTACTTTTAATTTTTGTTAACACTTTTTCTTTTTTTTAAATTTTAAATAAATTTTTTATTTTATATTTGTTTACGCACGAAGTTCATATTCATTGTTTTTCACACTACATCTTTTCCATTTCCTTTACCCACCCCTCCCCTCCACCTATCAAACTGTGCAACTCTATGATTAACTCCCCCTGCCCCACCCAACCTCATACCCCTGCTCCCATCTTCCCCCACTTGGATCCACATACATGTTCTACAACAATGGTCTAATACAGTATTTGTCTTTATAGGACTGAGTTAATTTACTTAGCATAATGCTCTCTAGTCTCCAAGTTAAGTAATGATTTACAAAGCCATTGCTCCAGTATGCTCCATAGTTTTCCACTGTGTGAATGTACTGTTCTTTCGCAATCCACTCCATCTTAGTAAACAACAACAATGTGGCCTTATCTATTTTGATACATGTACATGGGGGAAAATATTACTGGACATTCAAACTGTGCAACGTGATATATATGTAACTAATTTTTTAAATGTAAATAGGAAAGTGGATTAAAAAAAGAAAGCAAGTAAGAATACTCCCAATATGGGATCCGAAGTCTCTCTCTCTCTCAAATCTCTTTACCCAAACGAGCCTCTGAAATCTTCTAGATCTGTTCAGTGTCAACTACACTAAGAAGATAAATTAGAAGCCAGAGCTCTGACCAGCTTTTGTGGACCTGTGAGAGATTTGTCCCTTGCTTCAGAAATGATGGCCTGAAGCAGTATCACAAAGAGCGAGAGCAGGAGTGGAATTTAGTAGCCAGAATGGTCTAGTCTAGAAATGTGTATTCACTACTAATAATGAAAGACAGACTGCAAGCTAAACTGGGAATCCGAAAAAGCACAGCAGAGAACTGAATGAAGAGGGAGCTTCTTGGCAGAGCTGAATGAGGACAGGGGTTTACTTTATTTGTTTCACTTTGGTTTTGTATCTCAAAAGCAATGTAGGCATTGTTATTCAAATATTTGTTATTCTAAGACAGGTAATTGTGACAGAATACGGACATGGTTGAGTGCTAACCGTTTTTGCTAACTCTTTCTCTTCTCATCCCAATGGAAGAGCTACACTGCTAAGTGTAAATTCAGACAATATATCCTCATTGTGACAATTTCAGTAAGAGTAGTTGAGATGATGTGAACACCCTAACTGTGCTAGTATAAGTGCCAGATTTCTTTTCAATATGAAGTATCTTTGAGAGTCACTTTCTCTAGAGTATCTGCATCCTTTAGAGCATGAACACATTCTTCCTCCATGTTGTTAAGTTTGCTTTTCAATGTTCTTACAGCACGTTTCTATGGCTACAATATATGCAGTCTCTTCAGTGGTGGCAGCACCAACATTGCCACAGTAATATATTGCTTCTATAACATCACTTTTTTCCTGTAGTCAATTTTGTAAAATGTCATGTGGGTTTATCCCCAGCAGTCTAGGAAGTCAACACAACCATACATTTTGTGGAATCCCAGATGTGTAGTGGGCAATCACTGACAGACTCTGAAGGAAGTGTTGAGATACATCACTGACTACAATGTCATTTAGGCAGTGATCTGTGGACTGAAGAGGCGGCGCCAAAGCGTGTTCTTTTTTTTTTTTTTTCAAAGCGTGTTCTTTATGCAGGAACTCAGTTAACGAGCATGGTAACGAAAATCTGAACTGCATGGTTAGGAGACTGGCATTAATGGACTAACCCACGGTAACTAAAATTCATAAACTTTGTAAATTCACCAGCACTTTGCAGAAAGAGGCACATGTGTGCATTCATCGTAAATGTACAGTTCAATGAATGGTCAAACAGAACACTGTACACTCCATACAATTAGCACTCAGATCATGAAATGTCACCTAAAGGCCTTTATATTTCCCACCATTTAAAACCATCCAACATTAACCTGAATTATTACACCAAAAATGGACCTTACCTGTTTGTTATAGACATAAATAATGCAAATACTTTTGTGTGTGGTTGTTTTAGGTCCAGCATTTAGGGTGTGAAATTCACTCATGCTACTAAATGTAGTTGTTGTGCATTGCTTCATAAATGGCTAAATCACAAACACAATCAGCTCTTGATGTACATCTGGGTTGTCGCCACTATCTAGCGCAGGTCTTTTTTAAAAAAAAATTAAATTGCAAAGTCTTGTGTTCATGTGCAACTAAGGGTTCTCAAGCGGAGAATAGGAGTGCAGGAGGGACCAGAACAGTATCATGTGGCAGCAGGTGCCTGGCTGTTTAGGTCCTCCCAGAGTTTAAGGAAAGATACAACAGAATCACGACATGTAGAGGACTTACATTGTATTGATGGTTAGCAACAGGTTTGTAATTGGTTGTAACAACTTTGTCCAGCTGTTGGGAAAGTCTTACTGGCTTGGAAGATTCTTCTATTTGCAATCTGAAAAACAAAAGGCATTCTTAAACTTAGTTGTTTGGTAGAGTCAAATCTGAAGGGCTAGTCCTTATAACTCTTAACCAACAAATAATAACACAATAAATAAAATATTTTATGTACTGTAATATCTGTCATACATACAAATATATTAGAAGTATTAAAGAAAACAAAACAAAACTGGTTTCCTGTGTTTAAAGTAAAAGTTTTCACAGCAAATATTATTCTCATTCATTCTATTCTGGTTGTGCATTCCTAATCCTCTAATTTCCCTGTCCCCCTACCTTCCCATCTTTACTTGAGAGTAATTTTCTAACTATTTAGTCTGCTACAGATGCTTTTTGAAAGGAGCTCATTACTTACAAGTGATATCCTTTATTTTATGAGAAAATCTGTTGTTTTGCTAAAAGTTATCTCATTATAATTCTTAAGATTTGTTTCTAATTCTATTCTTCATGATCAAACCTTAACTACACAAATTAAAAACTTAATCAGTTACAAGAATCTGAAAAAAAAAAAACTTTTTATAAAAAGGAATTATCCTAAATTATTGAGCCTAACACTAATCAAGTTATAAATACAAAACTTAAATACTAGCAGATTGAAGTTAAATGTGAGATAAACAAAGGAGGCTACACAGGGATTCAGACTCTAGAAGTCATACCTGGTGAGTGGCTGCATGTTGTTGTTGTTATGTGCCATCGAGTTGACTGTGACTCATAGCCACCCAATGTACGTACACCAGCCCTAAACTCTGCTCTGTCCTGTGCCAATCTCACTGTCTCTGACACTCCCATCCCAATTACCCCAGTCACTGAATCAATCCACCTCATAGAGGGCCGTTCCCTCCTGCACTGCCCCCCCACCCTCCCAAGCATGATGTCCCTCTCCATTATCATTAGTTCTACTGGACAACATTCCAAGACTCCAGATAAATGAAAATGTAACTCCAAAGAATGTGTTTGGGAAAAAAAATATTAATAAACTAATACTTGATGTGTATGAGAGAATATATAGATAGGTTATGTGTGGAAAGGAGTTGTACTGCCAACCCAGAGAAAGATGGACACTCTCTTCTATGGTGATTTACTGCCTCTGAAAACCTTCTGGAGGGGCAGCTACGAATTGTTTTGACAACACACACACACACACACACACACACACACATATAATAAAGTAGAAAACGTGGGAGTTTGGTTTTGACTAAATATGGCATGACTCACACTTTTTGACCATTTACTTATTTTAAAAAATGATGTCAACTCATTTGGTGAATTAGCACAATAAAATGAAAAACTTTTTTAAAAAAACTATTTTAAAAGAAAAGGTACAGCTTTCTAAAGTGTCTATTTTTGAGAGAGACAATAGGTGTTATTGCACTTACAGATGTTTCATTAGTATGATACAGAAATAAAAAAAATATATTTAAAAGTGCTACAGAGGGAAAAAAACCCGTCACTAAATCTACCTAAATTATACATGAAGAGTAAGAGTGAAATGAAAGTATTTTTGAACAAAAGATAACTTGAGAAGCCATTAATATGGACTCGGCAGATAGTAAATGCAGACTCTATAAGAAAGCAAGTAAAACAGATACAGAGGCTAATCTTATAAAGTAGTAAGCTTAAAAGGAAGAGGAAAATATGTAGACATTGAATTAGTAGAAGAAACAGAATGAACAGAGACAATGAGGAGACATGGAGCCAAGCATTGCCAAATCAGCTCTACACTGGCCATTTTAAATTACTGCAGTGTTCTGATTGAGTTACGAACCAGAAAACTGGCCCTGCTCACCGAGAGCTGTATGGTCATGCCAGTGACTGGTGATAAGAATAGTGTGATCGCTTCATTCATTTCCCACACTTTTCCAGTGACTAGAAGTGTGGACATCCCCACCCTCACCCATCTGGAGGCTGATGACTCTCCCCCTTCTCTATCATCCCAGTGCAGACACAGTGTCCTCTACCCCTTCACCGGGTATAGAGTTCTACCCATCTTATTTGCATGGCCTGGCCTCCGAAAAGTACACAGGGTTTTCAAATGCCAGTCATTTCAGAAGTAGACGGCCAATTCTTCATAATGTATTTTAACCTGGAAACTCCTTTGAAACATATCCACCATGAGCGATCTACTGTTATTAAAATTCCGGTGGCACAGATTCCAGCATCACAGCAAGCTACCTCATTATAGTACACTGACAGGTACTGCTGAATATCTCATGGACAACCAAAAGAACACACAGGTATGTCTAGGAGGAGGTGGAATCAGAGAAGTGCTCATGGCAAAGGATGGCAAAGCTTCATCTCATTTAATTTGGGCATGTTGTTTGGCGAGGCTATTCCTTAGAAAGGGACATCTGCTTGTAAAGCTGAGGTATCAGCAAAAAAGAAGAAGACCCTCAATGAGATGGACAGATACAGTGACTGTGGTAAGTGGTTCAAATAAGGAGATGCAGGATGAGACAGGGTCCATATCTGTTGTTCACAGGGTCACTCAACTTGAGAGCACTTAACAACTACTTCTGAAAAGTACGATTTATCTTATTTATATTATTAGCAAGCTATCTATTCCCTTTGGCAGGCCACCAACACTTCACATATGCATAGTGGCCTACTGGTAAGAAGCTGCAGTACTACCCCAAAGACATTTGAATCCACCAGCTGCTCCATGAGAGGACGGGCAATCATCTCCTGTCTGATTTACTGCCTATGAACATCAGCTAGTAGGGTCAATTACCAGCCAGTTCTAACTCAGAGGCACACAACACACCACCACAACAACAATCTAGTCATAGAGCATGGATGCTTCACTAGTAAGGAACTGCACTGCTAACTCAAAGGTGTGAGCTTCAAATCACCAGCTGCTCTGCAAGGGAAAGATGGGCAATCTCCTCCTGCAAGATTTAACCACTGAAGGGCCAGCTATGGGTCGACAGCACAGAGGAGCAACCACCACCCAGTCACGTGGTAAAGTAACAAAGACAATGCTTAGATGAGTCACATCAAATAAGGCACCAACATCTGCTAATAAGCACAGATTACTTTTATAGAAAACTAAGCCTGCTCTCTTAAAGAAAAAAGAAATACCACTGTCTCTGGAGCTTAGTTCAAAAGCTACGGAAATGCCCATCATAACTGCAGTTTATTCTTGTCATACTCTTACATGTGAATTGATTTGTAGCTCATGCCTTTTGACTCAGTTCATACGGTAGGTATTTTCTTTCAATTCAAATGCAAGAGCTCTAAAGCCAATTCCATTAGACAAAGTGCCATGTCATTTTAGCCTCAAAGTATTTAATATTTTAAATTATGTGGAGAAACACTAAATTAACCTTTTGGTTTTTAAGAGTTGATATAAGAATTTAACTTTACTGTTGTTGTTGTTACGTGCTGTCGAGTGACTTGTGACTCATAGTGATGCTATGTATAACATCTCTGAACCCTGCTCTATCTTGAGTCAATTTCATTGTCTCTGACATATGTACCTCCATTATTCTAGTAACTTAGTCAATCCATTTCATCCAAGGTTCCCAAGTCTTCCTCTCTTTTGCTATTCTTCTACCCTTCCAAGCATGATGTCCTTCTCTAAGGATTGGTCCCTCCTGGCAACATGCCTAAAGTATGTGAGACGCAGCTTCAAAATCCTCGCCTCCAAGAAGCAGCTCAATTTCACTTTCTCCAGGGCAGACATGTTTGTTCTCTTGGCAGCCACAGTATGCTCGATATCCTTGTCCAGCACAACTCAAAGTCATCGATTCTCCTTCTATCATCATGTTTAAGCACACTACACCACTAGAGATCCTTTGTACATAATAAATAGCCTCCTTTGGAGCTATGCTGTCAACCCAGATACAGGTTTTTCAAATACACCAGACGCTCCATGAGAGCAAGACAGGTAATCTCCTTTCATGGAAATGACAGCCTCTGACAATCCGTTGGAGGCTCCACTAGGAGTCAGTTCTGACTTGACAGCAATGAGGTTCTCCCCCCCATAATATAAAAATATGAACTTTGGTAATCTAATGAAATGGAGAAAGTCAAACATTAAAGCTCTAAACTGTTGACAGATTTAAAAGATTTTCAAAGCTTTAGTCAAGAAACCTGCTACTTTCCTCACTGATAAATAAGTATAATATTTCTCATGTAATAGCACCTAAATAAATTAATAAGCTAATGAATGATATCTTTATTGACAAAGATCACAAATGAAAGAGCACAGTTCCATATCAAGAAATACTACAATAAAGCTTGATTTCACCCATCTATTTTCAAAGTTTAAGCAGAAACATTTCAATAATGTTGCGTTACTACTAATTTGCTGTCAAGAATAGATTTAAACAAGTACAAAACCTCCAAATAACAAATGTCTGCACTACCAATTGCCAATGTAGGAGTTATTTTGCAAGCAAACACCATTATTTACCATTCATTTAACCTTTGTGCTAGAACTACTTTTGACTGCAATTTCTGGTATTCTTAAAATGATAGGTCTTAACAGAAGAACACGTATTTCCCCTTAAGTGCCCTCCCCCCCATATGTGAGGGAATCTCTCAAGGGGAATGGGAAGCTGACATTTGCAGGGTGAGAGAAGCTGGACAGTGTCACGGGAGGGAGGGGGAGAGAGCATGAGAAAAAGTGGAGTACTAGGGCAGCTAGTGAGTGAGAACATGCCTGCCTGGCACCAGTCAGACACCACAGGCAAATTCTAGGGAAGGTCCACATTCGGAATGGTGAATGGAAGCCTGCAATACAGGCCAGGTGAGGTTAGAACTTGGGTAAATTCTAAGCGGATACCAGAAAAGGCTCTGGTAAAGCCTAGTTTGTTGTTGTTGTTAAGAGCCATCGGGTCACTTGCGACTCGTAGTGACGCTATGCACAACAGCCCTAAACTCTGTTCAGTCCTGTGCCAATCTCATTGTCTCCAACACACTCATCCCGATTATCGTAGTCACCGAATCCATCCATCTTCTAGAGGGCGTTCCCCTCCTGCACCTGCCCTCTACCCT